CAAGGGCCCACCAAACTTTTTCTCGGTGAGTTCGTCACTAGGAAATTTGATACGCTAGAACGCTGAAATATTAGGGCGATGTTCCCCATCCAAGTCGGTGTTGATGCACTGAAGCCCGTCCCCCAGGAAAGCGTGCTTGCCGCGTAAGAGCCCGTCAAATTTTTTCACGGTGAGTTCATAAATCGGGGAATTTGTAAGCTAGAACCCTCTAATCTTTGAGGATGTTCCCCATCCATGTCGATGTTGACGCACTGAAAATCATACCCCAGATAGGCGAGGTAGCCGCGTAAGAGCCCTCCAAATTTTTTCTCAGTGAGTTCATAACTCGGGGATTTGGTAAGCTAAAACCCTCAAATTTTATGAGGATGTTCCCCATCGATGTCGGCGTTGAAGCACTGAAAATCATGTCCCAGTTAAGCGTGGTAGCTGCGTAAGAGCCCTCAATTTTTTTCTCGGTGAGTTCATAACTCGGGAATTTGATAATCTAGAACTCCCATTCAAGTCGGTGTTGACACACTGAAGATGATCCCTCAGATAAGCGAGGTAGCCGTGTAAGAGCCCGCCAAATTTTTTTTAGGTGAGTTCATAACTCGGGGAATTGGTAAGCTGGAACCCTCAAATCTTATGAGGATGTTGCCCATTCAAGTCGGTGTTGACACACTGAAAATCATCCCTCAGATAAGCGAGGTAGCCGCGTAAGAGCCCGCCAAATTTTTTTTCGGTGAGCTCATAACTCGTGAATTTTATAGGCTAGAACTTTCAAATCTTAGCAGGATGTTCCCCATCGAAGTCGGCGTTGAAGCACTGAGGACCATCCCCCAGATAAGCGAGGTAGCCGCGTAAGAGCCCTCCAAATCTCTTCTCTATGAGTTTATAACTCGGGGAATTTGCAAGCTAGAACCGTCAAGCCTTGTGAGGATGTTCCCCATTCAAGTCGGTGTTGACACACTGAAAATCATCCCCAGATGAGCGAGATAGCCGCGTAAGAGCCCGCCAAATTTTCTTTAGGTGAGTTCATAACTCGGGGAATTGGTAAGCTAGAACCCTCAAATCTCGTGTGGATGTTCCCCATTGAAGTCTATGTTGACACACCGAAAATCATCTTCCAGATAAGCGAGGTAGGCGCGTAAGAGCCCTCCGAACTTTTTCTCG